AGGAGGCCCAAGAGGCCTCCCAGGAGGCCCAAGAAGCTTCTCAGGAAGCCCAAGAGGCCTCTCAGGAGGCCCAAGAGGCGTCTCAGGAGGCCCAATAAGTCTCTCAGGAGGCCCAAGAGGCCTTCCAGAAGGCCCAAGAGGCCTCCCAGGAGGCCCAAGAGGCCCCCCAGGAGGCCCCCCACGAGCCCCAAGAGGCGCCTCAGGAGGCCCAAGAGGCCTCAGAGGAGGCCCCCGAGGCCTCCCAGGAGGCCCAAGAGGTACTCAGGAGGCCCAAGGGGCTCCCCAGAAGCCCCAAGAGGCCTCTCAGGAAGCTAAAGAGGCCCCCCAGGCGGCCCAATAGGCCTCCCAGGAGGCCCGATAGGCCTCCCAGGAAGCCCCGGAGGCCTCCCAGGAGGCCCCAGAAGCCTCCCAGGAGGCCCAAGAGGCCTCTCAGGAGGCCAAAGAGGCCCCTCAGGATACCCAAGCGGCCTCTCGGGAGGCTCAAGAAACCTCACAGGAGGCCCAAGAGGCCTCTGAGGAGGCCCCAGAAACTTCTCAGGAGGCCCCAGAGGCCTCCCAGGAGGCCCAAGAGGTTTCTCAGGAGGCCCCAGAGGCTTCTCGAGAGGCCCAAGAGGCCTCGCAGGAGGCCCAAGGAGCCTCCCAGGATACCCAAGAGGCCCCTGAGGAAGCCGAAGGCGGCATCCCAGGAGGCCCCGCACGCCCCGCGCGCCTCGCGCGCCACGCGCACCGCGCGCGCCACGCGCGTCCCGCGCGCCCCGCGCGCCGCGCGGGCCACGCGCGCCACGCGCGCCGCGCTGCGCCTCGCCCGCGACCGCGAGGCCTCGCGAGCCCCGCGCGCGCCGCCGCGCCCCGCGCGTCCCGCGTGCCCCGCGCGACCAGTGCGCCCCGCGCGCCCCCAGCGCCCGCGCCCACCCCGCGCCCCCCCCCACGCCGCACGGCCACCATCCCCGGTTAGCCCTAGTAGTAAGTAGTAGTTGTAGGAGTAGTCGCAGTAGTAGTCGTTAGTAGTAGTAGTAATGGTAGTAGTAGTAGTAGTAGTAGTAGTAGTAGTAGTAGTAGTAGTAGTAATAGTAGTAGTAGTAGTAGTAGTAGTAGTAGTAGTAGTAGTAGTAGTAGCAGTAGTAGTAGTAGTAGTAGTAGTACTACTACTACTAATGATAATGAAAATAGTATCAGTAATAATGATCAAACTAATACTAGTGTTAGCAATAAGAATATTCATGATAGTAATGATAGCAATACGGGTAATACTCATAATAATAGGAAGAAACATACTAAGACTAGTAGTACTAATAATAATACTAACCTTAATAATACGAGTAATAATAACAATACGCATTGAAGAAGACGAGGAATATCAATAATAATAAGCATACAAATGATAAGAAGGATGCGAATAGTAATAAGAGGACTAATGAGCAGAAGAGGAGGAGGAAGACGAGGAGGAGGGGGAGGGTGAGGAGGAGGGGGGGGAGGGGGAGGGGGAGGAGGACCTCCTCATCCTCCCTTCTCCCCCGTCCTACATATGGAGTGGTGGTGGAACATTTGCCCATCAATGGCGTCCTGCCCCTTCCGCTGCCTTCTGACTTGGCTCGCACCTGGCTCGGTCGGTGGGAGGGCGGAGCCAGTGGTCGAAGAAGAAAAAGCGCTATAAACATGATTCTTGGGCGCTCCGCGCGGATTTCTTGGATCCGCGCTGGGCCCCCCCGGCGGCGCCTTCGGCGCCGCCCCTGGCGCGCTCCGCGCGCCAGAGAAGGGGGTCCCAGCGCAAATCCGAGAACTCCGCGCGGAGCGCCAAAGTTTGTGATTACGGCGTGCTCTCCTCTTCTGGGTGGGGTTCGAGGTTTCGGAGGTGTTCGCACGTTCTCGTCGGTGCCCCGCGGTCTTCAGACCTCGGCAGGCGTTGCAGCAGCTGCGCCTCGCCGAGGGCCTTCCACAGGGGTGTCCGGATCGTCCCCGGCGGGCCGCCGGAGGGCTGAGGCCTGGACCGAAAGCCGGGGGACGGCGTCAGGCCCTCGCGTCTCCCCCATCTGCGCCGCGGAGGGAGTCACCACCCACCAAACCACCCCAACCCAACCCGAAGGCTCAGATTTACCCTCGATTTCCAGTGGGGGGGGGGTCGGGAACCATCGAAAAAACACATGTGGAACCCTTACCCCCCCAACCCGAAATTCCGGTCTTCGGGTTGGGTTGGGGTGGTCTGGTGGGTAGTCAGGGAGGGGGGACAGGCCAGAACCGAACGTAAGGATGATCAGAGCGTGAATTACCTGCCCCGCTTTCGCTTCCAGGCAGAACCAAGGCATACCACGCGCCTCTTCGTCAAGCGGCCTGACCAGCACAGGCCGTAGTTTGGCATCGCTTGGTATTTCTTGGAAGCGAGGGTGGTCAAAAGCGAGGCAGGTTTGTTTCCCGCCTAGTAAGGATGAGCCACTTTCCAAGGGTCGGCCCTGCACCCGTGCCTCCTCGGCCCGTCCATTGGCCACTCTCGACGGCCCGCCCCGCCCGAGGGGCCTCGGCACGGGCGTGCCGTGGGCCTGCGCCCTTACCGCGCATCCCTGCTATCAGTTTTGACTGTACTCCAGATTTCGTAATAAAGGGAGGGGGTCTCATTTCGGGGGGGGTCTCTTCCAGGCTATCTTGGAGGGCCTGGGGGGTCTGGGGACGATGTTTTGGAGGGTTCTCCCACGGGGGAGGTCTGAAATGGCTTGCCTTGGAGGGTCCAGGCCCCCTCCCTTTTATTACGAAATCTGGAGTGTCCGTCTTTCCATGTCCCCCACCCGACGATCAAAGTTGGCGGCGGCTCTGATGAGTTGCCCTTCGACCGCCGTCTTCCCCGCGAGTGCCGTCGGTTTTGGGGGGAATGGGGGTGTCCATTCGGTAGGGGGAAACAACCAGTGGGCACTCCCTCGCTCCCCCAAACTCAAGAGCTGGCACGCGCGGGGGAGACTGCGGTCGAAGTGCAGCTCATCAGATCCACCGCCAACTTTTGAACATTGGGGGAGAGGGAGGCGCTGACCGATGCATGCGGCATGCGTGTTCGCTATTTTTGTCCGAGGCCCGTTCGTTGTTCCCCTCGGCCCGACGCACAGGAGCAAGAGGAGGCACGCGCACGGGGACAGCGGCCCCCCCCCTGGGCGACCTTTACTTCCCCATTTGGGAGCCTGTCCCGACGCCCGCGCCAGTGCCCAGGCCTGGCCAATGTGCCACACCGTGCGCCCCCACGGCGCTAGAACTACACGCCAGCCCTGAGATCCTGGCGTCGGAGGAGGCGGAGGCGGAGGAGGGCGGAGGAGGAGGAGGAGGAGGAGGAGGAGGAGGAGGAGGAGGAGGAGGAGGAGGAGGAGGAGGAGGAGGAGGAGGAGGAGGAGGAGGAAGAAGAAAGGGTTCTAGCGGAAGTTGGACAATTTGGCGAAAGGTTCCCGGGTTCCCAGTTCCTGGTTCCCGGGTTGCCGGTTATTGGTTCTGGGCCGATTTCGGTGGGTTTTGGGTTCCCAGGCTCCTGGGTTCCTGGTCGATTTCCTCAGCGAAACCATTGGTTGGGTTTTTTCGGAACGCCAGATTTCAGCGTCGTGCGCCCTCACGGCGCTCACCACACGCCAGGGGGTGGCGGCCCCTGCACTAGGATAATGTCCGGTGGGGGGCGAGTCCATCTGCACCAAGCGCCCAGCTGCATGATGGACCATGCATGATCGTACGCCTGGACGGCCAGCATCTCTGCCGAGTGTTTTCTCGGCTTGACCGCCCGCCCGCGTTCCTCGGGATCAGCGGGCCGCCTCGGAAAGTGCATCGGCAGGGACGTCACTGGTACTGTCTAGTGCTGTGTCGGGCGTGTCCCCTACAAGCGGATTTTGGACACAAATTCAGAACACGTTAAGTAATCAAAAGTGATTCAAAATAGTCCAAACATCGTCCCCAGACTATTTGTTTCTATTTCTGAATATTCCCCCTGTACAGGGACAGGCCTGACTTAAGTCTAGTGCTTGGGTCGCCCAGGTGGCGTAGTCCAGCCGCATAGCACCTGTCGTCGCCCGCGTGCCTGCCACTGCCTGTGTCACGGGGCTTCCCCAAACCCTGGCAACGCTCGAACGTGCCCACCCGTAAGTACCCAGGAGGAGGAGGAGGAGGAGGAGGAGGAGGAGGAGGAGGAGGAGGCGGAGGAGGAGGAGGAGGAGGAGGAGGGGAGAGAGGGGAGGAGGGGGAGGAGGAGGAGGGGGAGGAGGAGGAGGAGGAGGAGGAGGAGGAGGAGGAGGAGGAGGAGCAGGAGGAGGAGGAGGCTTCCTGGCAGCTTTTCGACTTCGCTCTGCGCGTCATTCCTACGAGCCACCGCGGCCCGCCGACAGGGCGCGAAGCTTGCCGAAACACTCCGCGCCGCACAACGCCTCGGCCTCGACACGCGCCGGTGGTTTCGTTGCGCCGCGCGGCACGGCAGGCCGAACCCCCGCTGCGCGAGGGCGGCCGTCAGCCTGACAGGGCGTGGATCCCGACGTCGACGTTACTCAGTTACTCAAAATGGTGGTGTACCGTACAAGCACAGTACACTCACAGGAAAAAAAGGGTTACGTAGGTCTCCTCACCTCCCTGAGTCCACGGCCTCGTGGTGGGAGAGCTACGGAGTTGGTTATAGTAAGGTCTGTTCCTGGTAGGATCCTTCGTTTGAGTTTCCTACTCTCAGACGAAACTTTCCCGTCGCACAGTCCACGCAGTTTAGGGCCCGCTTTGCACGTGGTGAAAGCACCGCACCGAATGCAATGCACCACAGGCAACCCAGAGCTCTCGACCCAAGCCACGTGGAGGTTGTGGTGGTTCCTCGGCCCGTCCAAAAAACTAGCAAGCGACGGGTTCAAGCCATTACAGTTCGGGCTGGGAACCGCCTTGCGGCCGAGATATCTGAAGCAAAGGTTACATCTTCTCTTCCCGTCATGGAAGACGGGCTCATGAGGGGTATGTGGCTTGGGAGTGGCCTTTGGACCCACCCGAATCCGACCCAGCTCACCCAGCTCCCCGAAGGTAGGCCACTCCGCTAGCACTTTACCCATACCGTGAATTAAGGTAGTGTACAATTTGGGAATGGTCTTGCACTCTTCTGAAACATTGTTGCTGAAACCATGGGCCCGAGCAGCGAGCCCCGCATGGTGATCAGCAAGCTTATTACCTCGCACATAATAAACCTGGTCAGCAGCGACATCCTCCTCGGCCCTATGGGCCTTGACCTTGGAGAGCCGAGGTGGGTCCCCAGGGAGCCTGCGGGCCACTTCCCGCCAGACATGGGCCATCGGGTTGGCCCCAGACAGGGCCCACTGGTGGGCCCTCTCAGCTTTCAGGAGGGTCGCATAATCAACATAAAGAGCACCCGTCTGACATTGATCAGCCGAGTAGGTGGTAGCTAGCATGATGGCACAGTGTTCTGCTGAGCCACTGGGCTGTTCCATCGTACCTGGGACAGGGGATCTAATACCTCTGACCAGGTCCCCACCTTCATTCACTTGGACTACTGAACACCCAGCCCTGGAGCAAGGCTTGAGCTGGGGGAACAAACACGATCCATCAGTGAAAAGCTCAGCCCCTGGTGGGAAATCGAACGGCGGGACGTCCACATCCCCAGAGCCAAAAAACTTCAAATCCTGGACCCAGTCCTGGGCAGGGGGCTCCTTTGAAAGATCTGGCCTGGCAACCCAAGCACGGCTAAACAGGAGAGACCCAGGACCATCTTCCAGGGCTTGCTGAATTAACGTCTCAGGGAAAACCTCACTTCGGACAGCTGACGCAACAGGGCAAGAGCAGGACCAAACGCGGTGCCACGCTGTGTCGAGCTTGCCACATCTACTACACACAGAGCTATAATTGTAACCCCACCTCACCAGGGCCTCGCCCGTCGGGAGGGTTCCACAAAACAACTGCCTCACTCTGAGCTTTTCTACCAGCGTCAGGCCTAGCTTGGTGGAGTTCATCTTCTGCTTGATGAGTTCCCACCACAGTCCTCGGGTCTCAAGGTCCTGAGTGTCAAAATCGGTTTTCGCGCAAACTCCTCGAACATATTTCTGGATATAAGTGTCTTTAAGCTGGTAGGCGAACCTTTTGGCCACCAGAGCTGGGCTCACCTCAGTGAAGTTCAGGGTGACTCCGATGGCGTCCTGGAACATCCCAGGGCTCAACATTTTCCAACCAGCTTCCTCACACCACAGAAGGGCATCGGTCATTGGTCCTCGGGATCGGAAGAACCAATTTTGACCCTTCGTCTCCTCGAGGCGGCGGGCAGCAGCATGTGAGGCTTGACTGAGCAGCGCGGCCTTCTCCTCCTTCTCCTTTTCCTCCTCCTCCTCTCCTCCTCCTCCTCCTCCTCCTTCTCCTCCTCCAGCATGTGGCGAAGTTGATCTGGTATAGCCAGGACCCCAGCTAAGGGGACCCGGTTAGTGGTAGGGCCTTGGAGCCCCTAAATTAGCCAGAATCACTAAACCAGGTTTGCCGTAGCTGGTGCTTTTTCGGGTGACGGCAGTTCCGGTTAGTGGAATTGGCGAGGGGGGCGTCCCCCAGTACAAATCATTAAACCAGGTCCCACTAAACCCAGTTCTGCCAACGCCCGAGTTGAGCAAATCCAGGCGGCGGCGCGCCGCACTGGTTGTTTGTCGCTGTGCCCCCCCCCCCCCCCCCCTCCGACGCCCAGCACCGCTGGGCGCCTGGCGGCCCCCTCGGAAGCGGCGGCGCCAGGTCGGGCAGAGCTCCGTCAGGGCGCGGGTCACTGCAGCCAGCCCTGCAGAGGACGACTGGGCATGCGACCGAGTCCTCCGCGAGCTCGCTGCTCCGAGGCTCATGAGCAGCCACCGCGTGAAAGGAGGGCGCACCTGCCCCGCGACCGTGCCGAGGGCCTGGAGGTGCTGGTGCCCGTGGTGCACCCTGGGCCTCGCAGGGAGGAGGAGGAGGAGGAGGAGGAGGAGGAGGAGGAGGAGGAGGAGGAGGAGGAGGAGGAGGAGGAGGAGGAGGAGGAGGAGGAGGAGGAGGAGGAGGAGGAGGAGGAGGAGGAGGAGGAGGAGGAGGAGGAGGAGGCGGAGGCGGAGGAGGAGGAGGAGGAGGAGGAGGAGGAGGAGGAGGAGGAGGAGGGAGGAGGAGGCGGAGGAGGAGGAGGAGGAGGAGAGGAGGAGGAGGAGGAGGAGGAGGAGGAGGAGGAGGAGGAGGAGGAGGGCGGAGGAGGAGGAGGAGGAGGAGGAGGAGGAGGAGGAGGAGGAGGAGGAGGAGGAGGAGGGGGGAGGGGGAGGAGGGGGAGGGGGGAGGAGGAGGAGGAGGAGGAGGAGGAGGAGGAGGAGGAGGAGGAGGAGGAGGAGGAGGAGGAGGAGAGGAGGAGGACGAGGACGAGGGACGAGGGGGAGGCGGAGGCCAGGAGGCGGAGGCGGAGGCGGGAGGAGGCGGAGGTGGAGGCGGAGGCGGAGCGGAGGGAGGCGGAGGCGGAGGCGGAGGCGGAGGCGGAGGCGGAGGCGGAGGCGGAGGCGGAGGCGGAGGCGGAGGCGGAGGCAGGAGGCGGAGGAGGAGGAGGAGGAGGAGGAGGGAGGGAGGAGGAGGAGGAGGAGGAGGAGGAGGAGGAGGAGGAGGAGGAGGAGGGGGAGGGGGAGGGGGAGGGTGTCGATTTCTCTCGTTTCGTTTGCTGCGTGCAATGTTTCGCTCCGTCCTAGCCTTTTTGGCTACAGGCCTTCGACGGGGCCACAGGTGCCCCGGGGTTAAGAGTAACCCCCTCGCCTTTCCTATTCTACCAATATCGAGCCCAATACCAACACTCCACATCCAACATCTCATCTCTCCCAGCTCAGCAGTGTGTGCGTGTGCGAGAAGGCGCTAGACGAGCGCCTGGCGGAGACCAGCAGCGAGGACGAGTGCTGGCCGAGAGTAAAGGAGTGCGCTGTGTGAAGCTTCGCTTCACATGGTAGCGGAGCAGGTTTCTGCTCCACGGAGAAGATGACGGAGGTCATGAAGACCCAGACGGTGCCGACGTGGAACGGCGGCGCCGGTACATGGGAGAAGTACCAGCAGGACGTGATGAACTACGTGGACGGCACGAAGTGGGAGGACAGGTACCTGTGCGGCCCCAGGTTGGTCGCTCGACTGACCGGTGCAGCGGCGACGGCCTGCATCGGCCGGCCTCGCGGGTGGTTGTCCAACAGCTGGGGTGCCGACTACCTGCTGGAGTACTTACAGAAGAACGTGATGCGACAGCCGGTCGAAGACGTCGGGCACTACATGGAGGAGTATTTCGTGAAGCTTCGCCGTCGGCGCGGCGAGGGCATGGCCGAGTACTGCTTGCGAGTGCACGAGAGCTACCAGCGTCTTCGAGTGGCTCTGGCGAGAATGGTCAGGAAGGACGCTAAGGATCAGATCATGCCGGACACCCCGAACACCCAGGCAGCTTCATTCAGTCCCTGGCCGACGGGCGGCAGCTCAGGGGATGCCTCTTGGCACCGCGTCGAGAATGGAGAGGGCATTCTCGAGGGCGATGAGGAGGCACCTGAAGTGCAGGACTGGCAAGTTCCCGAAACTCAGCGGTGGCAAGGACGTCAGGCGTGGCAAGGCCAAGGCGGATGGCAAGACGGGTGGCGCAACAACGGATGGCAGAGCTGGAACAGAGATCCATGGGCCCGTGGTGGAGCCCAGAACGGCAGCCAATGCTCTTTCCCCACCCAGGACTTACCCGAAGTGCTGCCGAGCGTCGTCAGAGGATGGTACCTACTACATCGAGCAGGCCTGGACGGCGGCGAGATAGCAGCGGTGATCGGCTCATGTCGGGGCGATTTCACGGCCGACAACGTTGAGAGCGCTCTCAGGACACAGTGGCCCAGCGACGAGAACCTGAAGGACAGGGACTACCGCAAGTCGAAGTTCATTCGGCAGCAGGTGGCGGCAGCGGCGTTCTACGGGGACGATGCTCAGACCTGGAGCGACAGCGACGAAAGGGACAGTGCGCTGGCGGCAGCGTCGACTACGGAAGGCGAGGAAGAAGGCGTCGACGACGAGGCCTACGCGACGGCGATCACCGAGGAGGAGGAAGCTTACGCACAGTTCCAGGCGAGCCAGAAGCGGCTCCAGGACGCGCGGCAGCAGATCAACAGGCATCGCACGGGCAGGAAGTTCTTCGGCTCCGGAGGGGGCCAGCGAAGTGACGGACGTCAGGGGCCATGCCTGAAGTGCGGAGGTGCTCATCGCACCGGGAGCTGCCCGGACAAGGCGGACCCCAAGTTGGGCCAGGGCCGACCAGCACCGGGCCGAGGCGGCGGCGACGGCGGCGGCAGGCTCCAGGGCCTCATTTTGATGGTGGAGTCCGACGCCAGCGTAGATAGCCAGACCGTGCTGGAGGCGGAAGAGCTCGGAAACACGGTGGACTTCGACGACCCCGAGATCAGGATGTCGTACATCGTCGAGAGGACCACGGAGACCGGGCACGGGATCATGGACTGCGGCGCCACGAAGACAATTGGCGGCATCGAGGCGGTGGAGACTCTCAACGAGATCTTGATCTCTCGAGGACACCCGCCGATGGAGGTGAACCTGCAGGATCGGCCCGTCTACAAGTTCGGCAACGGGGAGGTCAAGCGTGTCTTGTGCCGGGTCAAGTTTACCCTTTTGGTGCAGGGGACGTATGTGTCGTTTTTCGTGCACGCGATCGACGCCAAGGGGATTCCCATTCTCGTGTCGATCGAGACTCTGAACAACTTGGGGGCCATCGTGGATTTCGAGGCGGCCTGTGGCATTTTCAAAAGGGTCGACCCGTCCAAGATGATATCCTTCCCCAGGTCCCGTACTGGCCACCTACTGATTGACCTGACGTGCGACCTGCTCGGTGGGACGAACATCGAGAGACCAGCAGACTGCATCCTGAGTCGGGGAGTGGCATCGTTTTTAGACAAGCCCGCTGGCGACCCAGCGAGTGAGCATGCGCAGGAGCAGAGTGCGCCGTACATCACCTCTCCCTCCTCCGCCTCATCACCTCTGGCGTTGGCGGCATCGACCACCGACAGCAGTGGAAGTCAGACGTTTGGTCATGAGGCACATACGGGCTCCACGGGGACATCAAGTTCCTCACTGGGGCCTTGCAGGGCGTCAACGGGACCTCAGAGACCACCTACGAGAGCTCAGAGCAAGCCGACGAGTTTCTCAAGTACGCCTACTAGCTCACAGAGTACCTCTACGGGATCTCCAAGGGCGCCTACGGGTCCACCGAGCACCACTACGGGATCTCACAGAGCCTCTACGGGGTCCCAGAGTAGGTCTACGAGTCCAGAGGAGTTCGGATGTCTCGGGGAATGTGGTCCAGCGGTCCCGGGAGATCCAGTATCAGGCGGACCTCGTCGGGGTCCTGAAGGAGGAGACGCGGCCATCCGAAAGGCCGACGCCAAGCTGAACCCAACATGGTCAACAACATTTCCGTTCCACAATGCGACGGCTCAAGCTTCGGCCTCTGCGAGTACCCCGTCGGTTCCAGACGTCCGAGCAGATGTCCCAGCACCCGGCCACGTCCGGCATGCGCAAGGGCGAGCTCCTCTCGGAGCTGGCGCTATGGGACGAGGACGGCACCCACATGACGTGCGACATGCTGCGGGCCCGGCTTCGCCAGATTTACAAGGCGATGCCAGTCGGTGGTGCGCCTGTGCGCCACAAGAAGAAGGCCGAGCTTGTCGAGGACGCGACGACCATGGGCTGCGTCCTGACGGGCAAGGAGACGCGCGGGGACCTCCAGATCCTGATCACGGAGAAGTACGAGCAGTCCTTGGTGATGGTCAAGGGCACCGACATGATGCCGTTCGGCCGCCACAGGAGGCTAACGGTCCAGGAGCTACTGGAGAAGGAGCGGGAGTATGCCGGGTGGTTGGTGAGCCTGGACAACCCGCGCTTCAAGCGTCTCACGGACTGGCTGATCTCCAAGGGGGTCAAGTCCGAGGACATGATGAACCAGCTCGAGCTGCCTCAGCCCAAGGTGAAGGTGGGGAAGCTCGAGAAGACGGAGGGCCCGTGGCTGCTGATCAAGGATCAGTCGCCCCAGCGTCCGAAGGTGAAGCGCTCTCTGACCGAGGAGACCGCCGCGATGGACACCACGGGGAAGTCCAAGGACGACCAGATTATAGACCTGCTCGGGGAAATGAAGATGGCCGTGAACGCGCTCACGACCAGGGTGCAGAAGGTGGAGGAGATGGGCTCGTCGTCGAGCGGCCCGCCTGGGCCGGCCGGGCAGGGCCAGTGAGGGACCTCACCGACTCCCAGGCGACCTGGCTGGCGGGGTGCCTGGACAAGAGTGTGACGCCAGCCTGGACGCTCCTGACCGGGGCTGCAAGAGTCAAGCTAATGGAGGTCTGCTGCTCACCAGCGTCAGGCCTATCCCAATTCGTGATTCAAGAGTCAGGAGCGGACAGTGCAAGTCGAATTAGTGGCTGGAATGGTTTTGATTTATCCACCACTGCAGGTCTGCAGAAGGCACGAGCTGAGCGAGAGCGAGTACGTCCTATACATATGTGGTTCTCCCTACCTTGTGGGCCGTGGTCAGGCAATAACAATTTCAATCGTAACAAGCCGGAGGTCTGGGAGCAGGTCCTCCAGAGTCGAAAGAAGTCCAAGCGCCTGATTCGGAACTGCCTGACACTCGTCATGGACCAGGTGGCGGATCGGGGCCATGTGCATTGGGAGTGGCCAAAGGATCTCCAGCCGTATCGGTGGCCGGAGCTGAAGCAGGTCTTCAGGGAGTGCGACATGCGTCCGGTGGTCTGCGATGGCTGCATGCTGGGCGTCAAGGCTCGGGACACCGGGATGCCGATGGTCAAGCCCTGGGAGATCTGGACCACCTCCGATCGGATGTGCCAACGTATGGCTATCAGGTGTGATGGACGTCATGGGCACAGCCCATGCGTGGGGGGTGCAAGGACGGCGGCCACCGCGTACTACCCAGAAGCGTTCGTCAGGAGGGCGGCCAGAGCCATGTTGGAGGAGCCCAAGATGGAGGAGATCTGCAACGTCGTGCGAGAGTTCGAGGCAGCGGACGAGGAGACCGACACTGTCTACGCCGTGAACGCCTCGAAGACAGGGATCGATCCCGACGAGCTCCGGAAGGTGGAGATTGCGGCGAGACGGATTCACGCAGCCTGTGGGCACTGTCCGTTCGTTCAAGTAGCCAGGTCATTGGCGGCGCGAGGTGCTGATAAGCGGATCGTGGAGCACGTAAAGAACATGCGGTGTCCCGCCTGCGACGAGAGCCAGAAGCACGGACCGCCACGACCAGTCGGCTCGGCGGATGAAGTACCGAAGAAGTGGGCCGTCTTACAGAGCGACTTAGCAGAGTGGGAGAACCCGTGCAGCAACGAGAAGTTCAAGCTGGCCCTGTACCTCGATCAGGGGTCGAGGCTCGGAGTGGGACACGTCTTGTTCAAGATGGTCAAGAGCAAGAACGCGACGGCCGAAGAGTTGAAGGACTCAATCTGGAGCAGATGGATCGCTTATTTCGGCCGGCCGAGAGTTTTTCAAGTCGATCCCGAGGGTGCGTGGATGAGCAAGGTCATCCGGGAAAACTTGGAGTCGAGCGGCATCCAGATGGATCCCATTCCCGGACAAGCGCACTGGCAGATCGGAGGTATCGAGCGGCTCATCGGCCTCATCAAGGACCTCATGACTGTACTGGCTCGGGAGTGTCCAGGAAGGTCGTGCGAGGAATACCTGGCGCGCGCGATGGCGGCTTACAACGAGTTCGACCGGCACCGAGGTTTCTCACCGCTGCAGGTGGCCCTTGGCAGGGCTCCAGACCTCGACGGGTCGTTCATGGATGCTCCGGGTGATCCAGTCAACCTTCCGGCACTGGAGTCTGAGGCGGTCGACGCCGAGTTCGGGGAGAATTTCAAGTTCATGCGGCAGGCGCAGGAAGCTATGCTTAGATGGATCTATGCCGAGCGAGCTCGTCGTGCCAGCCATGCGAGGTCTCGAAAGTTGAAGGTTTACACTCCAGGTACGTTGGTGTATTATTTCAGGAACCCGAAGAGCAGCTCCATGACGGGCAGATTTTACGGTCCGGCCCGGGTCCTGGCTACTGAGACTGTTCATCGGGACGGCGAAGTTCAACCTCGGCCTCGGGTGTGGCTGAATGCCTGTGGTCGCCTCATCCGTTGTGATCCTTGCCAGCTCCGTGATGCGTCTGATCGTGAGGTGGCCGAGCACGAGATCATACACGGTACCGAGCTGCCCTGGACGTTCAACAGCATGACTCAGGGTCTCAGAGCAGGCCAGTATGAGGACTTAGCCGACGACCCGCGCCTGATCCCGAGCGACACGGAGTATGTTGATGCGGGAGACGTGCCACCACTACCGACAGTTTCGCCGACGTCCGAGGAGCCAAAGAGACGCATAAATGGCAAGCGTTTACCTACGGAGCACCACGCCTCGTCCAAGCAGCCACGGGTGGAACCATCGGCAGCGAGTGCATCAGCCTCTGGGTCTCAGAGTCTAGCTCCGGAGACGGCTACTTTTCCAGGGACTCCTACCAGACCGCCTAACAGGTCGCGGACGACCCCATCGAGACCCTCACCTTATGCCTGGGACGGTCTGCCACCAGCTGCGGCGGCAGGTGGCGATCACTACGGCAAGGCGCGGTCGGACAGGCAGAGGCGACGTGATCAGACGGAGGAGCAGGGTTTGACAGCCGAGTCCACGCCCTTCGAGTGCTTCTGGAGCCGGGAGGACAATGCCATCGAGGTGGAGATCAGTCTTCCTGAAGGTGCCCGAGGTGGGCATGCTATTCGTGACCTGTCGGTGTTCGTGGCCACCCAGCTCCGACGTCAACGTGCTGAGGTCCGGGAGCGAACCCTGACCGCCGAGGATCTGGAAAAGTTCAGGAAGGCCAAGACGAAGGAGGCGCAGGAGTGGATCAAGGAAATGGTCTTGGAGGGTCTGCCGAGTCATGTCACTGCTCCCAGTGACCGACTGATGCGCCTCAGGTGGGTTCTGACGTGGAAGATCGATCCTGCTGAACCAGGGGGTCGACGTGCCAAGGCCCGTTTGGTGATACTCGGTTTCCAGGACCCCGACCTCACCACCGAGGAGTCATACGCGCCGACAGCGACCAGGACTGCCCGGCAGGTGTTTCTGCAGAAGGCGGCGAACCTGAAGATGTGGGTGGCCAAGGGGGACGTGAAGTCCGCGTTCTTGCAGGGCGAGGAGCTTGATCGGGACCTGTTCGTCAAGCCCACGGGCGAGATTGCGGAGATGCTGGGCCTGCGCTCGGGCCAAGCAGCCATCCTGAAGAAGTCGGCCTACGGCTTGGTGCAAGCACCTCGAGCATGGCACCAGGCGGTGAATCGGAAGCTGAAGGATCTGGGTTGGCGACAACTGGAGTCAGATCCATGCGTGTGGGTTTTGACCAGTCCCTCGACGGCCGACGGCCCGGACTACATCGTGGCCATCGCCCTGTCCCACGTGGATGATTTTCTGTTCGCCGGCCGCGAGGCGGACAAGATCTGGCTCGAGGCCCGACGTCAGGTGATGGGGGCTTTCAGGTGGACCGAGTGGGAGTACGACACTTTCACGCAGTGCGGCGTCGACATCTCTCAGAAGGCTGATTTCGGTTTCACTCTGAGTCAGGCCACTTACACGGAGCAGATCGAGGAGATCGAGGTTCCAGCTGAGCGACGGCGACAACCTTCGGCGCCGGTGACAGCAACGGAGAAGAGCCAGTTTCGAGCAGCAACCGGGAGCCTACAGTGGAAGGGCACGCAGACTGGTCCAGATATCCTGGCCGAGCTGAGTCTCCTGCAGAGCAAGACGGAGTCATGCACGGTGGACGACCTTCTGAAGGTCAACAAGCTGATCAAGCGGGCCAAGGAGACCAAGTGCCGGGTGCTGGAGATCTTCCCATTCTCCGAGTGCGAGCTGGCTGTCGTCGGCTGGGGTGACGCCGCGTTCGGCAACCGCGTGGACGGCAAGTCGACCGAGGGCCGCGTGGTAGGTATCGTGCCCCTGTGCTTCTTGTCCGGCGAGGAGACAGGCGTGTCCCTGATAAGTTGGAGGTCAGGCAAAGTCGAGCGCACGTGTCGGTCACCGCCAGCTGCAGAAGTTTCAGCCACAGTCAATACGGAGGACGAGGTTACATTCGTGAGGTTTCTCTTGGCTGAGTTGTCGGGATGGAAACCAAATCTCAGAGACCCCTGGGCCCAAGTTCGAAGGATCCCGGGATGCCTCATTACCGACTCGAAGAACCTGTACGATCGTTTACGGTGTCCGGAGAAGCTCATGGGGGGCAAGGAGTTCAGGACTGGTCTGGAGTTGCTCGCCCTGAGGGACGGTATCGTCGCCTGTGAGTGCCCTGTGAGGTGGGTGCACAGTGATGCCATGCTCGCGAATAGTCTCACGAAGGGCCATGAGCGGTGGCAACTAGAGCTGTTTTTCAGTAACAAGTGTAAGTGGCGTCTGGTGTACGACCAGATGTTCGAGTCTGCGAAGAAGCGAAAGGGTTTAGGGATTCAAGCACTAGAGAATGTAACGTGTCTCGATTTTCGGCCGGATTTATGGGGTGATGTAGTGACTTCGGCTGGCAGTTTAACCTCCCATGCGTCTTAGGCCTGTCGTTTCACTTGTGGACTTGAGCGAAAGGTTTTTGGACCGGTGTCGATTTCTCTCGTTTCGTTTGCTGCGTGCAATGTTTCGCTCCGTCCTAGCCTTTTTGGCTACAGGCCTTCGACGGGGCCACAGGTGCCCCGGGGTTAAGAGTAACCCCCTCGCCTTTCCTATTCTACCAATATCGAGCCCAATACCAACACTCCACATCCAACATCTCATCTCTCCCAGCTCAGCAGTGTGTGCGTGTGCGAGAAGGCGCTAGACGAGCGCCTGGCGGAGACCAGCAGCGAGGACGAGTGCTGGCCGAGAGTAAAGGAGTGCGCTGTGTGAAGCTTCGCTTCACAGAGGGGGAGGGGGAGGGGGAGGGGGAGGGGGAGGGGGGAGGGGGAGGAGGAGGAGGAGGAGGAGGAGGAGGAGGAGAGGAGGAGGAGGAGGAGGAGGAGGAGGAGGAGGAGGAGGAGGAGGAGCAGGAGGAGGAGGAGGAGGAGGAGGAGGAGGAGGAGGAGGAGGAGGAGGAGGAGGAGGAGGAGGAGGAGGAGGCGGAGGCGGAGGAGGCGGAGGAGGCGAAGGAGGCGGAGGAGGAGGGAGGAGGAGGAGGAGGAGGAGGAGGAGGCGGGAGGAGGCGGAAGGAGGCGGAGGAGGAGGAGAGGCGGAGGAGGCGGAGGAGGCGGAGGAGGCGGAGGAGGCGGAGGGCGGGAGGAGGAGGAGGAGGAGGAGGAGGAGGAGAGGAGGAGGAGGAGGAGGAGGAGGAGGAGGAGGAGGAGCAGGAGGAGCAGGAGGAGCAGGAGGAGCAGGAGGAGCAGGAGGAGCGGAGGAGCAGGAGGAGCAGGAGGAGCAGGAGGAGGAGGAGGCGGAGGAGGAGGAGGAGGAGGAGGAGGAGGAGGAGGAGGAGGAGGAGGAGGAGGAGGTGGAGGAGGAGGAGGAGGAGGAGGAGGAGGAGGAGGAGGAGGAGAGGAGGAGGAGGAGGAGGAGGAGGAGGAGGAGGAGGAGGAGGAGTACCAGCAGCAGGTCGTCGCCTCGCAGTGCCCCCGAGGATAGACCTGCCGTGCCCGGCGCGGGGAGGGTCAGACACGGACGCTGCGCTCGCGGACTGCGCGGGGCCGTCTCCGGCGGGCCGGCCCGAACGCCGGACGCCCCCCGCGGTCGGAGCGTGCAGCGACCCCCTCCACGCCCAGCGCCTGCCTGTGCCAGCGCGCCGAGCATGAAGTCGGGCGTGTCCCCCTACAGGGGGATTTTCGACGAAAAATAAAAAATACTCCCAAAATAGTCAAAACAAAAAATCAAAAATAGCCTGGGGACTATTTTTTTGAGTATTTGTTGACCTTTTTGGGGTATGTTGGGGGTATTTTTCAATTTTTCGTCGAAAATCCCCCTGGAGGGGGACACGCCCGACATTAGGCCGAGCACGTGCACCCCCGGTCGGCGGGCCTGCCCGCGCGCCGAGCTCGGCAAGCTCAGCCGCGGGGCCCCCACGAGCCCGCCGGCCCGCACCCGTGTCGCTTCCGCCACCGTGGGCGCGCGAGCGGTGCTTCTGCGAGCGGCGATGCAGGAGAACCCATTGTAGGAAAGCATGGCACGTGGCCGAGCCAATCATAGTCTGCGCGAACGAGATGGGTACGGAAAGAATGGGCACCATGCCCAACAGCACTTCCGGTTCATTTTGAACAGGACTCGCTGTCCGTGTCGCCGCGGCTTGTGCCTATTTCAGACAGAAGGCCGCCTGCCCAACAGCGGCCGCTGTTGGTTTGGGACAGCATTTGTTGTTGGGCATTGTACCCATTTTTTCCGTACCCATTTCGGGCGTCCAAATATAGGATCGCGTGGTTCGTGCTTTCCTACAATTCGCTGTATCGTTTTCGTTCGATGCCTTCGCATTTTTGAAAAGTGGGAAACGGTGTTTCGTGATTTCCTACAAATTGTTCTGCGCGAGCTCGGCGTCACAAAAGCTGGATTCCCAAAATCGCCGTTAACCAACATCGTCGTTAGCGCGGCGTTGGCACCAGCCAGAGGTGCCCCCTCCAGTCCGGCGCGGCGCGATCGTACTCGCGCGGCGTCCTGTCGGGTGAGATCGCAGCAAGGTTCCAAGTTGGCCTTCTCCACGGCGGTGGAAAGCTTACGTCTGCTCAGCAGGGGCAAGAACAGACACGCACACACACACAGACACCATTAAACGCTGGTTTCCATGAATTTATGCGGGGAACTATGGAAGTGGGGGGGGAAGGCGAACACCCAGAACATATTTGAAGCTGTATGGAATACTGGCACTGGGATTCGTGTGTACTTCTTTGTGTGCCCCTGGGCCTCTTTCATCTGCCCTCGACAGATCTGGAGCGCCATGGCTGTGCCCATCACCATCAGGACAGCATCGCACCTCGCCCCGCCCGGGGCGCGCCCGCATACGCCTCCGCCAACGGGCCTCGGGCGGCCCGAGGCCGCGCGGCATCGAGCGTCCCGCGCAAACCGCCCACATGATGAACTGATGGGGCGGACGCTGGCGCCGTCGGACCGCGACGGGGCCGCGCTGCTGGATGGGCGCCACCACCCTCTTGGCTTAAGCCGGGCATGTCCCGCTGCAGGAGGAATATTCAGAAAACAGTCAGAGAATGGTCTGGGGTCGGCTTTTCGACTATGCTTGACAATTTGTGCTCATGTTTGGACTCTTTTGCTTCTCTTCCAGAGCCCCCCTGTAGGGGGACGTGCCCGACCGACCCAGCACCTGGCTCGAGGCCTGAGAGCCCGCCGCGAGGCAAACCGGTACCCGCGCGACGAGCCGCCCGCCCCAGAGCTCGGCGAGGACGGCCGCGAGTGGGAGGTGCAGCGAGCGCCGATTTCCCCGAAACAAGTGTGATCGCAACCATGCGCTGCACTGGCACGGCAACGATGCTCCGAACAAGTGTGATGAAAGCAAGGAGACGATGCTCCGAGCCCCGAATCATCAGGGGCAACTCGGGTCAGGGCTAACTCGGGTTCGTTTTTCGGGATTCCGAACCCGAGTTACCCCGGACCCGACTCACCCCGGATAATTCGGGCGTCCAGAGCCCCAAATCATCAGGGGTATCTCGGGGCAGGGCTAACTCGGGTTGGTTTTTCGGGAATCCAAGCCCGAGTCACCCCGGACCCGAGTTGCCCCGGATAGTTCGGGCGCCCAAGATGCTCCGAACAAGCTTATCACATTTGTTACCGTACATGGACATTATATTCGAACTTTGTGGCCCAAGATGCCCCCCCGACCCCCCGAAATTAAGATTGATGGCGTGGCGACGGGGGGGCGTGAGTGGACAGAAATATTCGAAACCCAAAGCGCCGCCTTTACTGAGACCAACTTTGATGTCGGGGGCGCGGGGGTGATTTAGAATCTTCCTCGAATGTGAGAGGGTTCGAATATATTGTCCATCTACTGTATCACATGTGTTTATCACACTTGTGTTTCATCACACTTGTTCTTATCACACGTGCTCGGAGCACGGTCTCCTGGCGGACCGCGCCGACGTCAGCCGGGGAGACGGGGCCCCTCGTGCCCAAGCCTTCCGCCTCCACTCGCGCCTCCTCGGCGTGGCTGCCGGACATCATCGGCCTCGGCCACCCTCAGGGATCTGACCTCCAGCGCGTCGGCCACCCCTCTGGTGTCGGCAGTCGCCCGCGCCCTGGAGCGTCGAGAACTGTCCTGTCCTATTGACAATCGGGCCGTCTCTCGATTCGCAGGCGGCACATACGGGGAACGACAAATTACATAAGCATCAAGCCTCGGAGGTCCGCGCGGACTTCTTGGATCCGCGCGGACCTCCGAGTTATTTTGTTAACGTCGTTGTTCGTTCACGTCATTGTTCGTTCCCCTAGTACACCTTGTGTTTTTCTCTGCCCGTGTCTTGACCTTCTTTTGCAGCGCATGGGTTAACCATGAAGCGCATGGATTAACCATTCGCTCGTCGGACGCGGCCTCGGCGTTCGACCCCGCCCCGCGGCATGTCGCACGAGCGAAAAGCGTTGGCACGACGTCTTCGCTGTGGACGGGGTGCCAGGCGCGCAGGCCCCCGTGGAGATCTGCCGAGCAGGGCGCGCTGAGCAGAGGTTTCGCGACGGACTGGGAGTCCGACGGGGCGGATTCCAGGCTCTGTGTTGCCTGGCCTGGACATATCACCAGCCTGGAACTTATCCCTATCCCTAAGATTGACACGCCAAAAGGCGATGACAATCTTAGGGATTCGCCCTCAAAAAATAAGGGAATCCCTAAGGTCGGCATCGTGATGAGGAGATGCCCAGCATAGGGATAGGGATATGTTCCAGGCTGGTAATCTGTGTTGCTAGACAAGGCGAGCAGAGACAGATGCAGAACTGTGAAGTCGTAATGCTGCCACTGAGCACTGCTCCGAATGGAGCTCCTGGCCAGGCCGACATTTTCGCGTGATGGCGCGCTTGGCAGCCAGTGCAATGGCAACCTGAGTCGTCCAAGACGATTGTTCAATGTGTGCGAGTGGGCATCTACTACAAATAACTTGGCACGTTTGTCACACGCCGTCGCTTTTGACGCATGTTCGATCGTTTTTTTGAGAACTGCGTCTTCGACCTGACGCCGTCGTCGCGTCGGGGGGACTCGTCGCCGCGACAGGGCGCGAGGCCACGAGGGCAGTGAGCTCAACTGGCGAGGGGGGCGAAGGCGTGGATCGGTGGGTGAACGGCGGGGAGATCATGGAATGTTCCACGCGCGCACGCAGCCAGAGGGGAATGCGCTGTCTGCGCGGCGCCAGTGCAGGCGTGCTCCACGCGAGGGTGCGGACCGTGACATGGTTTTCCAAATGAGCGACGCAACGAACAAACGGGGTCGTTTGCGCCGACATTGGCGCGTAAGCAGCCCGCGTAAGGTCGCGCGTGAGCGCCCTCGTCTCCAATGCAGCGTGCCTCGCTGGCGGCCCGCTTAAGCTGCGGCGTAAGGTCGCTGCGTCATCTCGCGTAAGACCCGCTTGATCGTCGCTCAATTGAGTTCCGCATTGTTTTACAGGGGTGACGCCTCCGATTTCGTTGGTTACAGTACCTCACCAGGGACCAGGTAACGCAAAGCCAGCTGTACCTGCAGGTGGGGCTCCAATGTCCCAGTCGGGATTGCTTCCGCCTCGTCCAGCGACTCCGCCATCAGTTCGAGGTATCGGTGAATGACTTTTGTTGTGCGGTTTTCTGGCAGGATGGGTCCGCATCGCCAGCAGCGGTCGCGGTCCTAGCCGCCCATCGCTGGCCCTGTCGGAGAGAAGCGCACGAGGAGGAGGAGGAGGAGGAGCAGGGAGGGAGGGAGGGAGGGAGGGGGCAGGAGGCAGGAGGCAGGAGGGACAGGAGGGACAGGAGGGAGGAGGAAAGGAGGCAGGAGGGAGAAGGACGAGGGAGGAGGGAGGAAGCAGGAGGGATGAGGGGGGAGGCAGGAGGGAGGAGGGAGGGAGGGAGGAGGGAGGAGGGAGGGAGGCAGGAGGCAGGAGGGAGGGAGGGAGGGAGGGAGGAGGGAGGAGGAGGGAGGCAGGAGGGAGGAGGAGGGAGGCAGGAGGGAGGAGGGAGGGAGGGAGCGAGGCAGGAGGGAGGCAGGCAGGAGGGGGGAGGAAGAGTGAGGGAGGAGGACAAAGGGGAGGAGGCAGCAGGACGGGCGGGCAGCGGAGCACGGGCCGGGGGGAAGGAGCGGCGGGCAGGGGCCCCCGGCCCCCGAGGCGATAGAGCGCACGAAGTCCGGGCAGCCCGGCGTGCTGGTGATCAGCTTCTCGACCACCTGGTGCGGGCCCTGCAAGGCCCGTAGTGGCTCTTGGTGTCGAACCAACAACACACACCCATACCCATAGGGGGGTCGGAGAGGGCTATGGGTGCGTGTTGTCGGATGGGGGTCCCCGCTCGAACGGGAGCGGTTCCCAGGGTCCGACAACCCGCACCCATACCCACAGCCAGTCCTCCTCCCAACGACCCCCCTATGGGTATGGGTGTGTTGTTCGTTCGTCAGTAGTGGCTCTTTCTTTGGAGGCAAAAAGGGGTGCGCGCCGAAATCCACTCCAGACGAAATCGAAGTTTTCTGGGGAGGGTTCGGTGTGCAGGCGCGCCCCGCCGCGCGGCGGTTTCCGGGCGCACCCTAGAGCGTGCTGACGCACAATGCGAGGCATTCGTTTTGCACGTTGCGCATGCTATCGCCGGGACGCGGGCCTTGAAGGCCCGCGTCTCGGCGGCTCAGTATCGTCTGGCCGATCCCTCTGCCTCGGGGGCGACTTAGTCTAGAGGGGGGTGATGTTTGGGGGGGATATCATGGCGTGGGCCATGCTATTTCCCCAGATTTCATGGCGCCTCTTTTCATTTCATCACGTCCCTGGCCCCCCCTTGGGCCGCGCACATGCTGCCGGTCATGATGTGCACCCCCCTCCCTCTTGGACGCCCCCCTCTTGGCCGCCCCCGATGATCACTATGCCCGTCCCCATCTCGAAGAGCAGAGAACGGCAGAAACATACACTTTTGGCGCTCCGCGCGGATTTCTTGGATACGCACTGGGCCCCCCCAGGGCGGCGTCTCTGACGCCGCCCCTGGCGCGCTCCGCGCGCCAGGGAGGGGGGTTCAGCGCAGATCCAAGAAATCCGTGCGGAGCGCCACAAGTTTATGATTCAGCCGTTTTTTTCTTCTTCTACCGTCTCATCCCTATCCCCATCCCGCCACTCCAATTGTCGATATGCCCCTGGAAACCCGAAGGGAACAGGCGATATCCATTTCCCCTATCTGGGGTGGTAAGTCTGTCGGTGGGACCCAGGCCACGCCAGTTGGGATATGGATCGGCTAAACGATCCTCAAGATTGCTGGGAAACATAGGCAGGCATAGCCCTGAATTGTTGGAGCTCCGCGCGGGTTTCTGGGATTTGCGCTGGTCCTCCCTTGCGGCTCCTCGGGCGCCGCCGCCCTTGGGTGGGGGGTCCCGGGATACCTCACATGCCTATGGGGTCGGCGGATTTTGTTAGTCGTTCCTCCACGTTCCTGTCGCAGTCGATATCTTGCATTATCCACTCCCCGCACCGTGCCTCGTGCTTCCGCGCTGTGGATCTGCGGCCAGGTCATGGACCCAAAGGTCGACGAGCTCAGCGAGACCTTCGCTGGCAAAGCGGCGTTTATCAAGGTCCGAGCTGCAAGAGACGGGGGTCCATGCAAACAGAACAGGGGTCAGCTGGAGCGCCGGATCTAGCAGGAGCTTGCAGAGCCATGGGTGCATTGACCCGGGCTTGCGCGCAGGATCTTGCAGGATCTTGCAAAGCCTGACTGACCCTTGTCTGCGTTGGCCCGGGTCAGTGCGTCCCCGAAAGGTCATGGGCGACAAGGACGACAACGATGGCGTCCGCATCATGCGTCGCGAGGGGGTTCGCACGGTGCCGCTCTATCAGATCTACAAGAACGGTGCAAAGGTGGACTCCATCTCAGGCCCCTCGGCTGGATGCGGGAGGGTGACGGATTTGCATCCTCGTTCACTTGGTTGAGCCAGGGCCCATTGTTTGGCCTTGTGGAGGCTCAGGTGGTCGCTTTGTCGTTTCCCTGTGTCGGAGCAGGTGGCCAGACCCGGGCGGACGTAGGGTGGCCCTTTGAGCTGCCAGTCAGGATTGGGCCCTGTGCTCCCTGCTCATGCGGCGTCTACGGCGTTGAGGGAGCAGGAGAGGGCATGAGCCGCGGATGGAAACCATCGAACACAAGCCTAGCCAGGCAGGTCGTGTGCTCTCGGAGAGGCCTCCGGGACGGTAGTGCTCCAGCTGCATGTCTGCCACGGACGGCCAATCCGCCGCATCCCGGATGTACGGGCAACGCATCGACGAGCCGACGGGCACCGTGCCGCGCAGAAGTGCGAGAACCGTCGATGGGGGCAGACATCGTGTTGTGGACGGGGGGCGACGCGCTCTGCCCGACACGGATCCGCCCAGACGGTTTGTTCGAGTGCGAAGGGGGCATGCAGTCGGTGCGCCGAGGTAAGGACCCCTCTTTGGGCTCAGGAGGGAACCTCCTCGGCGGGCCCTTCCCAAACCGCAGAGTGCCCGGGCGGCAGCAGGCCAGGAGCCATGTCGATAGGGGTTCCTCGAGCTCCTGGGGCCATGGGCTCTTGTAGGTTGCCCTCGGGGCACCGGGCGATCCGAAAAACGCCGATTCTCTTCGATTTGGGGTCTGCCCAGGCTGCGTCAGGCCAGGAGCCAGGTCGATAGGGGCTCTTCGAGCTCCTGGGGCCATGGGCTCTTGTGGAGGTTGCCCTCGGGTATCTGAAAAAAACGCCGATGTTCTTCGATCTGGGGTCTGGGAACCTGCCGTGGCCGAGGCTCGCCGTGTTCAGAAGCGCCTTTTTTTGCGAAGGAGAAAACGGCATAAATCAGAGCCTGAATTAGCTACCCCGCTTTCGCCTGCAGGCAAAACCACGCCATACCACGCGCCTCCTCGTCAGGCGGCCTGACCAGTACAGGCTGCAGTCTGGCATCGTTTGGTATCTCTTGGAGGCGAGGGTGGTCAAAAGCGAGGTAGGTTTGTTTTCCACCCAACAAACATCAACTGTCGACTCTCCGTGCGGAGTTCTTGGATCCGCGCGGGGCCGCCCGAGGGCGGCGCCTCTCAAGCGCCGCCCCCAGCGTGCTGCGCGCGCCGGGGAGGGGAGTCCAGCGCAGATCCAAGGAATCCGCGCGGAGCGCCAAAAGTTTATGTTTCTGCCGTTTTTGTTTCTTCTTCTACCGTCTCATCCCCTTCCCCGTCCCGCCACTCCGATTGTCGATATGCCCCTGGAAGCCCGAAGGGAGCAGGCGATATCCGTTTCCCCTATCTGGGGTGGCAAGTCTGTCGGTGGGACCCAGGCCACGCCAGTTGGGATAGGGATCGGCTAACCGATCCTCAAGATTGCCGGGAAATAAGTTTATGTTTCTGCCGTTTTTTTCTTCTTCTATTTTCGCTCCTTTGGTCAGCGCTCCTCGCGGTAGCACGGTCGCTCTGCAGTCAAATGGCGCTCCTCGTGGCAGCCAGTTCTTCGATTTTTTGGGTCGGGGAACCTGCCGTGGCCGAGGCTCGCCGTGGCAGCCAGAAGCGCCCTGTCGCTCCTTGGTCAGCGCTCCTCGTGGTGAGGGCGATCGCCGTGCAGTCCAAGCGCTTGGAGCGCAGCGCATGTTGGTTTCGGGAGGGGCCTGGGCTCTCTACGGAGGAGGAGGAGGAGGAGGAGGAGGAGGAGGAGGACCGGAGGAGGAGGAGCTCGGGCGCTCCTCGCAAACCTGGGGCAGCAGCCCGGTCCCAGAGGGCGCCTCGCTCCCCAGTTGGCACTGCCTATGGGGGGCAGGCTCTGGCTGTGGTCGCCAGCGCGGCACTGCCCTGCAGACGAGGCGTTCCAGAAGGGGCCTCGTCTTCGACTCGGCATCGCTCGGACGTGTACATCTTTTTTTGGAGCTTGATCGCCCTCCTACCCTGACACGTCGATTAGCGAATAGGCGTTTTCCGGCTCGCGAGAGGGCATCGCGACCGTCATTTTTGTGGGTCCAGGTCCGTCGGTTTCGGCCTTGGGCCGTCTTCACTAAAAGGATGGTGTACTGAAGGGAGACTTGTCCACCGCCGATCTTTCTCGGCGGGGACCACCGAGGAACATCATGGGGCATCTTGCAAAACAGAAAGGCACGCACGGCACCGAAGCGTGCACGGGGAATGGACGTCCGAGCGAAGGCAGGTGGCGGAGGGCCAGCGGCAGCGAGACGGGGGCGGCTCCGAGAGCGGAGGCCGGAGGAAGCACAGGTTAAGTCGGGCCTGTCCCCCTACAGGGGGTTTTCGACGAACAAATACCCCCCCAAATAATCAAAAAATAATACCAAAATAATCTGGGGACTATTTTTTGAATTTAGTTTTAACCTTTTTGGGGCATTTTCGGGGTATTTGTTATTTCTCGTCGAAGATCCCCCTGTAGGGGGACACGCCCGACGTAAAGCACAGGCCGCCCTCCCCCGCCCCCGCGGAGGCCGCACGATTGGAGCAGCGGTCATCGCCAACACGGGGCCATTCAGCCCCGTTCACGGGGCCAACACGGGGTCACACCAGCCCTGTTGGGATCCCGAGGGCTCCCGAGAGGGGCCACACAACATGCCCGCCAGCACGGGTGTTTGACTGCCGCAAGGCAGCAACGCTACACAACGGACGCGACCACATGTCAATGGTTTTGGGCCACCGCGGCGACCCTCACGGCGCGCTCCTGCGTTTGCGTGCGGCCTGCGGCGCTCATCCGGTCAGGCGCGGACCCCGACGCGCTGATCAAGCACATCGAGAAGCACGTGGGCAGCTGAGGGGGCGGATGGCCGCCTGCCCCCCCCGCAGTCCTCCTCCTGGCTGGCGAGGGGACGCCCGCAGTGCAGCTATTCTGCCTCGTGCGGCGGTCTGCAGTGGCACGAGCCTCGGGCAGGCGTAGTACTTTTAGTGTTCGGCCCTGCCGCGCCCCGGCGTGGCTTTGGGTCCCACAGCTCTGGCGCTAGCCGCCTGCATGAAGCCGGCGCACGTCAAGAGACGCGGAGGGAGGGACGAGGAGGATGAAGAAGGTCATGATCTTGATGCTGCTGACGATGCGGCTGATGATGATGACGATGATGCTGATGATGATGCTGCTGATGATGATGCTGATGATGATGATGATGCGTCGGATGATGATGATACTGGCAATGATGACGCTGCTGATGATTACGATTGCAACTACGAGTGCGAGTACGATTATGATTATGTTGATGTTGACGATGATGATGATGGTGGCGATGGTGATGATGATGCTGATGACGATGACGATGATGATGATGATGATGATGATGATGATGATGATGATGATGATGATGATGATGATGATGATGATGATGATGATCATGATGATGATGATGGTGATGCTGATGATGATGATATCGACGTAGATGATGCTGATGATGCTAATGACGATGATGATGCTGCTGATGATGATGATGATGATCATGATGATGAGGACGACGACAATGACGATGAGGCCGGGGAGGAGGAGGCGGAGGAGGCGGAGGAGGCAGAGGAGATGGAGGAGGCGGGGAGGAGGGGGAGGGGGAAATAAGGAATGATGATGGTGCAAGTGGTGATGATGAGGATGGTGCTAATGATGGGGATGATGACCACGATGACGAAGACAGTGGTGACGATACGATGACGACTATGGTGATGATGATTTTGATGCTGATGAGGATGATATAGAGGATGGTGGTGAGGGTGATGAGGATGGTGATGATATGGTGATGAGGATGAGCAGGGCGATGATGACATATGATGACGATGATGGTAATGATGATGCTGATGATGATGGTGATGTTGATGATGATGATGATGATGATGATGATGATGATGACGATGGTGATGTAAAGGCTGTTGCTTCTGTTGCTGATCATGATGATGACCATGATGATGATGATGACGATGATGATGGTGCTGGTGCTGGTGATGATGCTCATGATGATGGTGATGGTGATGATCATGGTGATGGTGATGATGGTGATGGTGATGATGATGATGATGATGATGATGGTGATGATGATGATGATGGTGCTGATGATGATGATGCTGATGATGATGCTGATGATGGTGGGGGTGATGATGATGAGGATGATATAGAGGATGGTGGTGAGGGTGATGAGGAGGATGGTGATTATATGATGATGATGATGATGATGATGCTGATGATGATGATGATGATGATGAGGATGAGCAGGGCGATGATGATGATGATGGTAATGATGATGTTGATGATGATGGTGATGCTGATGATGATGATGACGATGGTGACGTAGAGGCTGTTGCTTCTGTTGCTGATCATGATGATGACTATGATGATGATGATGATGATGATGATGATGATGATGATGATGATGATGATGGTGTCGGTGCTGGTGATGATGCTGATGATGATTGTGATGGTGATGATCATGGTGATGGTGATGATGGTGATGGTGATGCTGCTGATGATGATGGTGATGATGATGATGCTGATGCTGATGCTGATGATGGTGGGGGTGGTGAATATGACAATGCTGATGATGATGCTGATGATGCTGATGATGATGATGATGCTGATGAGGATGAGGATGAGGATGATGATGATGATGATGATGATGATGATGATGATGATGATGATGATGATGATGATGATGATGATGATGATGATGATGATGCTGATCAGATCCCAACGTGTGTGCCGATGGGGAGGCATGACGGACCAGAGCCTGAGCGCGCGCTCCCATCGGCCTCCTCCGCAGTTGCCCTGGGTCCAAGTATGTGGGCTTCGCCCTGCACCACCAATCGCGCGGCGAGGGCGCCTGTATATACATATATATATATATATATATTTCTGTTTGCTGGCCACGCCCCCAGCGCGCTGCCCCGCTCAGCATGGGATGCTCGGCATCGCTCGGACGTGTGCATGTTTCCTTCGGCGAGGACCATCGAGGAGCATCCTTTGATCATCTGGCGAACAAAGCCACGCACGAAACCGAAAAAAACACAGGGAATGGACGTCCGAGCGATGGCCAGGATGCGGGTCCTGCGGGAAGAGGGCCCTGGACCCTGGGGTGTGCTCCCCGGACGAGGTCTTCATCCTGACCTGCCTTCTGACGGCACTGGGGCCTCCTCCTCCTCCTCCTCCTCCTCTTCCTCCCTCCTCCTCCTCCTCCTCCTCCTTCCTCCGCCTCCCCTCCTCCTCCTCCTCCTCCTCCTCCTCCTCCTCCTCCTCCTCCCCTCCTCCTCCTCCTCCTCCTCCTCATCCTCCTCCTCCTCCTCCTCCTCCTCTCTCCTCCTCCCCCCCCCCGGGCCGCCCCCCGACCTGTGGAGGGCCCGGGAGCCCGAACATTGCGAAAAACCTCT